AAAAAAAAAATAAAAATTAAAAATTTTTTTTAAAATAACTCATAGCAGTAACTTTAAGAGACAAAAAAAAAAAAGTTAAACTAAACTAATATTCAGTGGAAATAGGCAACTAATTTACACATATAATTTCTTATTTCTTAGCAAAACAATAAAAACAAAAAAGGTCTAATGCCTTTTGCAGAAAATATATTTAGTGGTAAAATTGGAATAAGATTATTCTGAGACTATTTTCAATAACAGCAAGAAACTATCAGAAGAAAGGTGAGAGAAAGTGTTGCAGCAATTTGCTTTTTGCATAAAATTATTTTCTTTCCTTTTTTTTTTCTCTCTTTTTCTGAAAAACATTTTTCATTTTATATCCGTTTTGCTGCTAATGGATTCGAAGAATGACAGGTAACATTGCTGTTGATGCTAATGCTGATGATGACGATGATGATGATGATGATGATGGTGATGGTAATGGTAATGGCTACGATGGCAACAACGACAACAACAACAACAAAAACACACCTTAGATTAACTGGTTCAGAAAAACTCTAAAAAAAAAAAAAACCCAGAGAAATGCCAGTACTTTCTTATTTTGGTTATTTATTGCTGCTAACTAAGATTGTTCTCATCGACGATGACTCATCAACATTGGTACACAGACACAGAACTGCAAAAAAGCTCGTAACCAAAATTAAACTTCATTTCCTGAATGCCTTTACACATCTTATTAAATTGTGTATAATCTATCATAAATTACTACTTACTTAGCGGTAATTTTCAGTGAAAAATGACTATGTCAACTGTTCCGCAAACGATAACATACAACTGAACAGTTGAACAGATTAATAAACTATAGATAGTTAACGGTGAATACACATAAAAGATACTTTTTGCTCTATAAATAGTCATCAGTGTAAAAACGAATAAAAAAAGAAAAAAGAAAACAAAAAAACAGGTAGTATTCAATAAATCAGTTGAAAAAAAAATGAAACCAATAAAAAGGTGATAAAAACAAAAAAATAAAATAAAAAATAAAAAACAAATCAGTAAAAAAAATCTGATAAACTGTAATTGTTCAACACAAAAAGAACACGAAAACTATATATATATATGTTGATGGAATTTATCACAACAACAACAAAAAAAAAATAGATTAGTTAATGATTGACGTTTACGGAAAAAAGAAAGAACAAAGAAAAAGGAAAAAGAATAAAGTAGCATTATAAACCAGAAAAAAAAACACTTATTTTTGGAAATTTGATTTAAAATAGACTTTTTTTTTGAGTGCTTAAATAACAGTGTACAATATCAGAGGAATATAGCAAAGGAAAAAAAAAGTTAATACAGCAATGTACAAATGTTAACTGCTGAAATGAACAACAAGAAAAAATGAAGAATAAAACACGCTATATACCATTGTAACGATAGTATTTTTGACACAGAAAATAACAGGTATAATTATATTAAAAAAATCTATAGCTTTACAAGAAATAACGAAGAAAAAAGAGAAAAATGAAACAGCAGCAGTTCAGTGACAATAATTAGTTATCGGACGAAACAGATGTATCATTTTGGTTCCTTCTTTTTTTTTTTTGTGGTTAGCTAAAAGAAAAAAAGTTGCAATCTTTTTGTTTTTTTGAACATTATTTTCCTCCTGATTTCTAATCTTTCAGCTGCTACCGTTGCTGCTGCTGTTGCTGATGATGACGATAGTTGGTGACGACAATAGACATTGAATCGTTGTTATTATTAATAATCAAAATGGTGGATGGGGTAATATCGTCGTTGTCGTTGTCGCTGTTGTCGTCGTCACTGCTACCATCGTCGACGTCGTTTCAGTGCCGTCCAACATCTAACGGCCACCGCCG